TACCCTAAATCTTGGGAATTATGGTACAAGAGTATTCTAGGGTCATGCAAGGCTTTTACTATCAACAGTAGCTCAAGGGCTCATGTAGAAAGTCCATAACAACTATAGGACATGGGCTTCGTCTGAGGGCCCGGGTGGTTATATCAGCATAAAAACTTGTCATGTCCTTGCGGAGTTTTGTAGGCGTAGGGAAATCGAGGTCTTACACTAATATCGAAGGCCAACGCGAACTACGCGGAATTGCGATTTTTTCCTGCGGCAACAGGCACGCCGGCTACGTGGACTACGCAGCAAGCCTGGCCTATATCAAATCTGGGTTTAGGGTTTAGGGTTTTAGGGTTTAGGGTTCTATTGGGGACCATAATAATACCCGCTTTGAACGTACTGCTCCAAGGTTTACGTATGATGAGGTTAAGACAATCTACCAGCCTATCAGGCCAAGTGGGAAGGCAAACATAAACACAAGGGATTACAGTAGTACCCCCCCCAAAGGTACCCCCCAAGGGTTTAAAGAGCCAATAAGGACTATATGAGGCTTTCTAAGGCCTAACAGGGTTCTAAATCCCTTAAGACACTACAATAATATAGGGATATTACCCTCAATAATGGAGAGTCACATGGGAGAACATGGAAAATGAAATGGACATATTTAGGGTTTAGGGTTTACGTAGGGATATTACCCCCAATCATGGAGAATCACATGGAAAAGAAAATGGAAAACAAGATGGAAACTGAGTGTATATACAGTAGTATTCTAAGGAGTCAAGTATGGGCCACTTGTATGACTGCCTCATCCTGGGGCCCCCAAATGCATATACATACATCTATGGATATACATAAAAGTATATATATGTATAATATATCTCTCTCTACCATTATGTAATAGGTTGTCAAGTTTCTGCCCCTTTTTCGTGCACCCTAAAGATTATGGAGCCGTATTGTAGTGAGGACACCAAAAGGGGCCGTAATTGTGACAACCTACCATGTAAACAGCATGTATGAGGCTAGTTCTTGTCTTTCACCACGCTTTCACACCACGCCGGCCTGATTTAGGTAGCTCCACGCCCGGCGGAACTCCTACAAAGCTGCAGGCAGTGGCAACGGAACGTCATTAAGGCGTGAGACTCAGCTGGGGATGCTAGCTACATCATTCGACTTGCAGGGTCAGGGGGACTTCTAGACCATGAGGTTTAGGGATTAGGGTTTAGGTTCATGGGTTACTAGGTCCACCTGACCTTCTCCTGGCAACCACTAAACCCGAAATCCCTAAATCCCTAAATTGAATCAGCTGCGCATGGAGACCCAAGGATCCCCCTTGGCCATGGGGTGGGGGGCGACAGACAGTAGGCTACATGAGCTATAGTCGTAACTCCTAGTATCCAACTTAAGAACCCCTATACTACTCCCCTAGATAGACCCCTTTATAACTCCCTTTAGACTATACTGCACATAATTCCGAAGTTGTCCTTGCGAAGTGCGCTTTGCTGGGAGATGTCGATGTTCGCCACATCCTTCCCCACCTTTCTGAGACTTACAGTAAGTAGTCAAGGTTTAGGGTTTAGGGTTTAGGGCGTAGGGTTTTTGTGGAGGCCACGCTGACAAGCCGAGCTGCAATTTAGAGCTTGCCAAGGCTGACATAAGAATGGTAGGGAACAATGTTTGCGTGGAACAGCACAACATTATCTGATTTGGAACATATTTGTCTGTTCCCTACCTACACCCGAAACTTGTAATCCACAGACTGCGTATGCCCTGGCACAAGGAGCAGCTCTTATCACCCAGATTACCAGAACATCGGCACAGGTCCTGTGCAGCGCCCGTTGTTCTATATCTCAATTTTTCGAAGCTGCACAGACGGTCTATATCCCCTTAAGTAGATAGAATATGGCTTTGGGTACATTATAATAAGATCCCCATATACTCCATGTTCTATCGACTTAAGGGGGACTATAAGCCCAGTGAAAAGTACAGTAGGGGCCTAGATCATGACCAGTATCAAGTTGAGGTCTAGTTGAGGTACCGTACACCGTCCAGACCCGCTACACATTAGGCGTAGTAATCCTTTTATACCCTAAACTCTAAACCCCAAAGCCTAAATAGTAGTTGCCATTTCGTTTTACATTCTTGCAATACAACCCAGAAAACCCTAAACCTAGACCCTGAACCCTACAGAACACCCTAAACCTTCCTGAACCGTGATTGGTAAAGTGTAAGCTTCCTGGTCTTGGTAGCCTCGAAGGGGTTGTCCACGACCAGATAGCAGTTGGTCCTCGTTTAGGGTTTAGGATTTAGGGTTCAGGTTCAGGGTGGAGGGTTACAGACCACAACTCTCCAAATTTGCCACGCATACAAACTAATAAGCCTGACGGCTCTTGCAGAAGGTCTGCACTGCCTTGGTCCCTATTCGTTTAGCAAGAAAACAACCCTTTTTTCGGCAATACAAGGACACCCAGACACTAACCTGGACCCATTTATCTCGCATCAACAAGTTTGCAGGTGGTACTTTGAAGACCTGTTCACAAATTTATGACCAAGTCTCCGTATACAACAATGACAGAAATGCTGTTGATACTGAAAATCCTGCATGGCCTAAGCCCCTCCTTTTGTACCATGATTTCGAAAGTATGAGGTGCTTAGGGTCATACAGGACTTTTCCTATCCACCCTAAAACCTATGGGAAGGGGTAGGATTTAGATTTTGGAGTCAGTTTAAGTGTGCACCCTAAACCCCTTGAGTTTTCCGGAGACTCTGGACTTAAAGAGTTCTT